CTTCCGTTCTCCCTTCTTTGAGCTCTCACACCATATCTTCAACGTAGCACTTCGAGAACACTGTATCACGCGTAAGTTGAGCCAGCACACACAGAATTCGAGTTGCGAATTTTACGTGTGTCACCAGTCATTTGGAAATTCCACCTCGATTTGGGTCACTATGAATTCTGTTTAGTGTTTCCTCCTGCGGCACTATAAACTAAATTAGGGTATACCGTAGCTGGGTGTGCTAGCTTAAAAGCAAAAGCAAGCAGAATGCTCTAGCATTTTCTTACTTTTCCCCCATTCCTCTAGATGTCTCGACACGTTTGAATGACCTAATAGATTTAAGAAGTACTAAATTGATTGCAGCGTTGACGAATTTGGATTTAAATCCCAAATCGATCAGCATGTACTGGTGTATTCTCTGCTCAGTCACGACCTCCTTTTAACGCTCCACTATTGAACCATCACACAAGTCGTGCCTTTCGTTTTTGAAATTGAGCGTGGAACTTCTCTACATACAGTACCGGTCAAGTGTTCGCCGAAACGATTTTCAGTGCATTATTTCTCACGTTTGAACAACGTCTCCGAAGATTGTTATACTATGTTTTTAGTATTTTCATATCCTTGATTTTTAAGGACTCAGATATTATATGTAGATATATTCAGAAAAGAAAATTTAAAGGCTACCTTTGATTTATTATGACAAGAATAAGGAGAAGCACGAAACTGTTTCTGCGAACACTTTTGACCGGTGCTGTACACCTTCACGCCATCGCTTTTAACAAAACTACCACGTTATAGCAATCAGTCGAAGAAGTGGAGTTTCAGTGATGCGACTTGTTGAAAGGTTCAATTGCTGAATGTTGTGAAAAGGTTGTGACTAAGAATAGGTACAAAGCACATTACTGATACGGAGAGTGGAGTTCGAATGAGTTGCCGGTATGGCTACATCTCGTCTACTAAACCATCCAGTTTGCCAACCTGCAATTCAGTCAGCTTACGTGGACTATAATAGAGGTATATTGTATTTTGTTGAGCGGATGCTTTTTAAAGTGATATGTGACCTTATGTGAAAGTTCATTTAGAGAAAGGAGATTTCGAGACGTTCCTAACTGTTCTCGTGCACAGCTGCGCCAAGAGTTACTAAGATTACCTTTGCAGTGTGTGTCTCTATAGAGAGGAGTGGTATTCAAAACGGGATACCCAGCGAATCTAAGAAACCAGGGATAATATCGAGTTCGCGCTTTGGCTGAGATGATGAGTCCAGGCTGCAGGTAGCCATAAGGCGTGCCACGTGTTGTTTTCGTGATCGACTCATGGCTCATCTCCACTGGTGACCAGCTCATCGTCTCATGGCTCATCTCCACTGTTGACCAGCTAGGAAAGTCCTGTCTGTACGGTCACAGAGTCCACTTTTACAGGTGGTCAGTCGATATATGCCGTTCCCATCAGGAGTTCGCTACGGCCCATTCCATTCAGGCAACGTTTATCGCAGCTGATGCCCTTCTGGAATATCGACTGCATTCCGATATGAATATCGACTGCATTCAGATATATGTTACAGCTTCCTGGCAATAGTCCCCTTCTATTCATAGCGCAGGAGTCCTCATAGAATATAAAAGGAGTTCCAAGATAAGGTCGAACTTTGCAGTTCGTGACGTCTCTGCCATGCTGGTGGGCCAATAGCTCAGTGCCCTACCAATATCAGAAATTACGACAAACTCAGCGCACATCATCTCGTTGCGCATATGAATGCTAAAACCACCTGGCTGAAGATCCTGATGCATCCAGCTACTCAACTTACCCTCGTGATGAAACTAATTTGGCATAAAGAAAGCTGAATTTGAGCAAAAATTGTACAGAATTTATGGAAAAATCCAATAGTAGGTTGTATCAGCGAAAAAACCTGCTGTCTGTGGCATTGAAAAAAGGTTAGTTTTCCGAGAGTTATGTAGCTCTTGTAGTCTTGCAAACCTCAGCAAGTATTCTGGCTCTTCATTGGGGAGAGTCCCTTCCATTTCCCACTTTACATGAACCTTGTTCGATTCAACTTGATGCTCCAAGTTTTTAATAACAATTTCCTGCTCGACTACTGAAAAACGTTTTGATTCTGAATGTAAAGGCTTATGTAAACAGAAAACTGCTAGCTTAGGCCTCACCCTCTCTTTCGACCGTCGACTCAAGATATTTGTTGTAGTGTGCTGTCGCTACTATAGTGGCTGTGACTTTTCGTGCTTTGGCGGTGTACACAGATACAGACTCCTAAAAGCAGTGATTTTAGCGCTCTTGGAAACTTCCGGAACAATATGCCAAATCTGTAGAATATTCCTTGCACTGGTGGTTCCAAGGCGCAGTGTTACTACGATTAGAATATGTTCAGGAGCTCTATATTTGTGCCACCTCAGAATGTTCAATATGGTTATCATAATTCAGCGAAGCACAAAATACGGATTGAAACTACATGAAACAGTAGGTGGGACAGTAGAGATACAACGAACATATAGGCAAATATATAGGTGTGGCAAAAAAAAGAGACAATTCACTCCAGGAAACACTGATGACACATTCAAACCGGATACTCCCGATTGAAGTGAAGAGCACATTCCAGTCTGTCAGCAGACCTGATAGTAGCCTCCTACACCGACGACATTGGAAGAATGTGCCGTGGAAGCGCTGCGCGCGGTTAGAGCCCAAAGTGGTCTTCGACGAGCCATGGACCATTACGAGGTTATTTGGAACGCTGGTTGGAAAGGGTTTGCACAATCAAAGCTATGCCTCTAGAAATGTCCCCACGGCTATCCAGGTGAAGTGATCAAGTAGCTCCACCGGACCAGAGCAATTTTGGGAGCCTTTCTTCAGCTAGACTGCGAATGCAGATGCCGTCATGTTCTAAAGACGACGAGGGCAGTAAACAGGTTCTTGCATGTGCGTCTGGAGGAACATTTCAGGAATATTTTAGAATACGCTAGGAATGAAAGTTGAAGAAGGCGTAATTCACTCAGTTGAGAGACCGGTGACCTCCTGAGGGTGCGGACTGACCTGCAGTCGGCACTGACGGATTTGTCTTCGGCGACCTAGCAGGGCTCATTGTTGGCATTAGATGGTCCGTGGTCCATTTTTGTCAGTGATTGGTTTGCATTTTCTCGAAACCAGCGCTTGACACTTATGATGAGAAAAAGTCTGCCTTCAATGCGTTGTTGATGTCATGAACGATTTCCGTCGCTCTTGTGCCGCGACGCCATTCATAGAAGATGATGAAGCTGGTGCAGCGTGTTGAAACTCGAAGAAGGCAGCCCGAAATGCACCTATATAAGCCGGAGTTTGTGCTTCAACGTGACAGATCATGGGTACCGATTAATAATCGGGAGTTCTTGAAGTTCCAGAAAAATCGGTTCAAGACTTTCATATCATACTACTACATAAGGGGCGAAGTCTCAGTCTATTCTGAGATTCAGACTTCAACGAAAAACTTCCATAATTGTTAGTGGTGTTATTCCCGCAGCTATTAATTTTGAGACTGGCGTGTCTCAGATGACCAAGGCTTTTTATTGGAAAATAATGGTATGCATATGGGGGAAGGGCAAAAAGGGGTCACCTTGCCCATGGTGCACAGTATCCAACTTCTCGTCGCACAGTGTGCCGGTGTTGATCTTACAGCATAATATAATATTCCTTGGATGTCCTTCCATGAGCAGAAGCGAGCTATCGAAGCGAAGTAATTTCAGACAGAAAAGTACACTAGAAACCAGAGCTGCCACGCGATAGGTACAAACTTTTATTGATCGAGTGAACACACCCAATCATATGAGGTATCTGAAATCCTTCACTACGAGTGTTGAGTTAATGAAACAATATTGATACAGCTGTGCAAGAACCTCACTACGGCGTTGCTTCGCTAACTGTTCAGCTGTGGGGCAGAATCACCGCTAAGAACTCAGAGCCGGAATGAAGACTAGAATTGAAGCCGACTGACGAACTAACCAACAGGAATGAAACCAGACTGACTAATTATTAGACTGTCACAAAAGTTTGTGCGTATTTTTTGGATCTCATGCCACAACTGTGAAGAGAACACAACTTGCAGAACTGAATCACTTCCTCCCTAGTCGCCTGCTTCGAATCAAGGTGCGAAAGAAAAGAGCCATGTTTTTTACGCTACGACTTAAAAACTACTAAGCAGCCCAAGTTCTACTGACGCTCGAAAAAGTATGTCCGCTTTACGACAACAGAGACGCGTTTCGAAAACGACGCGGCTCTAGATATGGAGGTAGAGCCGGAAGGTCCTACCATATCCAACGGCACCGATGATCAAACCTCTTCCGAAGGACGTTTGTTCTTTTGGCTCGGCAATCATCTCGCACACAAAAGCGATTTCCATAGCCACCTTGAAATCGACCTGCCTTTTTCAGCAGCTCATAACTGCCAACCTTTTGGGAGTTATGCGGCTACTTTTCGGTTGGTTGTTGGTAACAAGTGACTGATAATGGTGGTGTTTATATCGATTACTGATAGCGTATCGACTTGGGATAAAATAGGCTCAAAAAGAAGTTTGAATTACGCATTACGTATAGAGAAGACTCTATGATAATCATTTTATTGTGGTTAGATTGTATCCTTTATGTAACTTTGTATTCCAATCCATTGTACTATCTCTTAGAAATTTCATTGATTTCCTCTGATGACTCATTGTAACTTGAAGAAAAGCTAATCTCTCGGCTGATCAAGCTAAAGGAATGTAATCATAATTCTGCTCCGCCCATTACTTATCGTATATAAGGAGCTACGATTCCATAGCTTCGGAGTTTTCCATTCCTACAGATTGTCTCCTTGGTGCGAACAATAAAGGATTCAAGCTACTTTCTCGAAGAAACCGCGTGGCAGCATATGGTGCATCGGCCGATCGAGGACAACCAAGCCGTTCGACAAGCCGATCCGAAGAAGTTCAAGGAAACTGAAAGTGGAAGCGAAGAAGCTGGGAAGAAAGTTCACTACCACGGAAAAAACTTACAGCGACAATGACATCGTCACTTTCAACAAGGATGGGACTGCTGACAAGGGCAACAACGAGACTCTCTACCCTGTTTCAAGAATTCTCGGCAGATCTGAATCAACCCATCACCGTGCCTCAAGACGAAGACGACAGGAAGAACTACATTCAAATGAAGAAGACCCTACTGAAAAGAATCAAGAAGAGCTTCGAAATGAGTGAAAGAAACGTCGACAATGCGCTAGCTGCTTACACGAATGCTGCGGACCAACTTGAGGAGGAGACTCCTCAACTCAAAACCATTCTTGAGCGAGTCGCTGCAAACTCGGATGGTGCACAAGAACTGATGGAAAGAGCGCAAACGACGATATTCGAACTGGAGTTGCGGCTACAAGAGCTGGACAGTTTGGGCCAACAGTTCCCATCAACAGAAGAAGAAGCTCCACGAATAAAACTAGCACCAGTACCCATACCGAAATTCAGTGGAAAGGTATGGGAATGGGAGAGTTTTTGGAGCGCCTTCAACTACTCCGTTCATTCAAGGAATATGGAGGATGCCTACAAGATGAACTATTTGCTTGACGCACTGCGCGGAGAGGCAAGAGAGTTGCTGAAACAGTTTGAAATCAGCGGAAGAACGTACGCCGTGGCAGTGGAGCATCTGAAGAAAAAATATGGAAATGCACAACTTCTCATAAGAGAACTCATATGTGCATTTGGACTACTGAGAGAAGCGTTTTTGTGCCCCATATTTCTCCATCTGGCAGCTCCTGTTTCTTCCTCAAGGCATGGCGCTGAATCGACTCCGTGAATTTCGATAGTATTTGCTTTTGGATAACAGCGCTGTCGATTAGTTCTCCCTTCAGTTCCATCTGATTCACTATTGACGACAGCTCTTCACATAATTTCCTTTGATCTTCTATCCTTTTGCTCTTTGCCTTCGCCTTTTCGAGCCTCTCTATGAGTTCTCTTATGAGCTTCCATACTTTTTCTTCAGATGCTACACTGCCACGGCGTACGTTCTTCCGCTGATTTCAAACTGTTTCAGCAACTCTCTTGCCTCTCCTCGCAGTGCGTCAAGCAAATAGTTCATCTTGTAGGCATCCTCCATATTCGCGCTCTAAAAACTCTCCCATT